TCAATGATGTCATTTAGAGTCTTGACAGCAGGCTTATCCGAGCCGGCTGGAGGATGTTGAGGGGGAGTTGTAGGAGGATCGCGAGGGTCTCGGGTGGGTTGGTCTTGTCCAGGGGGGTCGTCGGCGTTGGGTTGGACGACTGGTGTTTCGGGTGCTTGAGGAATTGTTCCAACTGGAATCTCAATACCACTCTTTCGACGCTCAGCATCGATTTTGTCCGCGTAAGCTGCCTTGAGCTGGTCGATGCTCTGGAGGCCCTCTTTTTGAGCCTTCTGGTTCAGCTTCTCTTTGTACTTCTCGACGACGGCCTGTGAAGGTTGGGTTGTTGCGAGGAAGCGAATATCGTGAACTTGGGCCCATCGTCGCTGGTTGATAGCTCGGGTGGTGCGTATGGGAGCGGCTACAAGCCGGCGAAGGGCAGGAATTCGTAGTGAGGCCATGCTGGAGGTCAATTGAGTCGACAAGTCACCCGTGGACGTGTCGTGCTCGGCTGTGTTGATGTGCTTTGGAGGTCGATGACGGAGAAAGAAATACAGGGGCCGACCACCAAAATTCGCTGTCGTCACTCAACCCAAGAAATACTGTAGTGGGGCCGTGTCTGCGGAATGACGGCGTTGGGCCGGCTTCGGAGTTTGGCATGATGACAAAGAGGGCTTCAGCAATTGGACCAATGTGATAAGACTTATATCAAAAACCTCGAAACAGAGATATACCAAAGAATCTGGAACTTATTGCACAACATCTCTCATGTTATTCTCTTACTTCTAACATCACTCTGCAGAAAGCCAACTACTTACAGTGCTCAACTACCCCGCCATACAATTTCACCGCTTTTGGTGGGCATCAACTTTCTGCCACTTCACTATCGCAAACTCGAGGGGCAAAATTGCAGGTTTCTCTTTATAAGTTGTTTGAAATAGGGCAAACAGTTGGCTTTGTGCATCCAAGAAGACATTCGAAAGGATTGTGCGGTCTCACACTGTCTTATCATGGCGGACTTCAGGCAATGGGCTCTTGAATTTGTTCTGGCTGACAATGAGGGGCAACAGACAGCGATAGCCAAGAAGGCTGCCAACGGTGCTTTAGTCCATCCCTGCTAAATGAAGATGTTCTAACTTTGTCTAGAGATTCAGGCTGCAGCGGCCAATACAAACCCTGTAGCTCGATGGGTCGAATCTGTGCAGCCTTGGATGCCAGGTGGTGGTAATGAGGCCGAGAATGAGACACCAGATTGGACGGCGAGGGCAAAGGGTGAGTCTCGGTTCATATGTCGTGGTATCGGTCATGTCTAACTGTAATAGCGCTCGAGTTTCTATCGCGGACTTTGGATTTTCTCAGCAATGATATTCTGAAACCCAGCCAAGGTAAACTCATGTACTAAACTTGACTGCGATTTTGTCTAACAATTGATCAGTGAAATTATTGGTCAGCTTCTTCGGAGCCATGTTCGAGGTCGATCATAAAGCTGGAATTATGCCTTCCGCGAGCGCTCTATCTAGGATAGTCGCCATGAAGTCCTTCCAACGGCACATGGGACACGACATTATCCAGAAAGTGTGCTCTCTCAAGGACGACTTCCCACGCCAAGTATCCAAGACCAGACTCGAGATCTACGAGCTCATACGATTACTCATGACAACTCCTGGTGTCGCCAGTGATTTACAGAACACACACGGCTCGTCTGCTGGCTTTATGCTCGACTTGATTCAACTGTGTAGAAGTGAAAGAGACCCCGAGTGTCTGATGGTGTGGTTTGATATCTTGAGATTGTTCATGTCTGAGTACACAGTCTCTCAAGACGTATTGGAAGAGGTGTATGGTGTTTTCAAGCCATACTTCCCCATTTCACTCCCTCGAGCATCTCAGGTTGCAATCACCCCCGAAGAGCTGAAGCTAGCACTGCGAAAATGCTTTTCAGCAAACCACTTATTAGCTGATAAGGTCTTTCCATTCCTTTTGGGCAAGTTGGATCAGGGTGATGCTGTGACGGTCAATGTCAAGGTTGGTAGAACCCCTATTCTTCAAATGGAGGAGTTAAGCTGACCGAAACTAGCTCGATATCCTCAAAACAATGCAAGCCTGTCTCGATGAGTACAGCCATCCTCAGAAAGCGATTGCCCCCTATGCCAATCAAATATGGGGCAGCTTGAAGTATGAGGTTCGAAACGGAGAAATTGAAGATACCATCTGGGGCACATTGGAAGTTCTCAAGTCTCTCACTCGACGACTCACTGGCGATAGCCTCCGCGACTACACATTATCGGTTACCCGAGACTGCGTACCAGACCTTGCGACAACCATGTATACCTCACCCGCCGGCCGACTTATGGTCAGTGTCTTGAGCTCCAAGCCCAGCGCTTTTGTCTTAATGGCTGCCCCCGTCATTACACATATCAAAGAGAACTTGCGACATCCAAAGGCACCTGTTCATACCCAGGATCTTCTCAAAGTCTTGCATGTCATCTTAGAAACTCGTTTCCTGTTAGTTGACACAAATATGGCCGCTGAGGACCGGGAGGATTTTGCTGCCATAGACGGTTTCTTCAAGTCTCTTTATGAAGATGTCTTTAAGAACCCTGTGAACCTTGGTTCTAAATCAGATGCCTCTTATGATGATATCAAGGTTGCTACGCAGGCCGTCCCGGGAGCTGGAGTTTTGGTTTGCCAACGGCCTTCCAAGTCATTGGAACTCTCAAACAATGGTGCAAGCGACATTTCTCAGCGATTACTTCCCGAGTCAACTTGCTCGGAAATCTGCTCATCTCTCTTCGCCATTCTCAAGAAGTCAGGTCCTGGTTACCCTCGATCATCTGGGGGCGATGAACTCGTTAACGATGCTGCCCAGGCTCTCCAACGGGCTATTCGGTACTTCCCTCGTGGCTTCAATGGTCTTGTGGATGAGAGTTTGAGCACCATTCGCTCCAGCCGACAAAATGGTAATGTTCCCGATACGGTTGAGACGATCAAGACTCTTGGAGGTTTGGTTGCATACCTGGGTTCGTCAGAACTACCTTTCACACCATGCGACGGTTTCGATCACTTCATTTACTCTATCCGCGCATTCCTCTCAGAACTCTTTGATTCGCTCGAGTCCAAGTCGGATCCTGAAATTTGGTGTGCCTTGGTCGCTACAATTCAATCCACTATTCGATATTTCAACGACGCCTGCTTGGCAAAGAACGCTGATAAAGAATTCTCCATCGAAGACGAGCACTTACAGAAGATTGGCTCTGCTTACCCTGCCCTGAGTAAGCTTGGTGGGGAGACAGTAACTGGGTCTTCTCCTGACTATCATAGCCGAGTTTCTCAGTCAGCCTCTGTGGCCGAGATAAGAAGCGAGTTCTTACTCATTACCCTATTCATTGCCCGGCAACTGTATCGCCGAGCAACCAAGGTCATTGACACACATCCCCAGACAGGTAAACAAGCTCTGAGTCTGAGTGATGACTTCGCCAATGTCGATGAAGTCTCTGGACACCAGTATCTTCATCTTATTTCCACCCTTGCAGGCTTTGTGGTCCACGAGTTCAGTGAAACTCAACAAACATCACTCAAGGCTGAGAGTTTTGCTATTAGCCTCTTCCGTGATGATTCCATTGCGGTTCTCAAGACGGCGCCGGAAGCTCAGTCAAGCTTGGAGAATGGCTCATCTTGGAGTTGGTTAGCATCCGAAGCGCCAAATGTTTTGGCTTTTGGTATACTGCAAGCTTTGCAACCATCAGCAGTATCTCGCCTGGTAAGGTCACTGTGATCATAACCCGTCTTCTTTATCACTAACTCGATTGGTAGTTTGACACTGGGGTTGCCCAAGAGTTGATTCTCAGCGGATGCGCAGCGGACACAAACTTTAGCAGACCAGTGACGCTTTCCATCTTGACTATTCTAGCAAACAAGTTCAAGATTGAGACTGTTCCAAGTCTCATAGCAGCTCTCGAGCAACGATCCTCGAGTCTGTTACCGGCATCTACGTCAGGAAATGACGCCTCTCGCTTGGAGCAAATCACCTCTATCTATGCCCTTGTTGCGGGAATGGTCAGACGATACAGCGGCAAGGAAGCAAAGACACTATTAGATGTGGTCAAGGAATCCCCTAAAGATCCCCAGCTTGGCGCTGAACTTGCTCGACGACTTGAAATGATTGTGGCCCCGCAGCAACCGCTTACTAAAGATTGTTATGCCATCGTCAAACCCCTCTGGACCCAGAAGGTCTATTTCCAACTTGTCAGCCCAATGTTACAAGCCGCCACTGGAAAGGAAGCAGAGGCCCAGGACCAACAGGCCAAGGCGAACTACAGCACCGCCGTGCTGCTCTTGGTTAAGCACATGAGTTTCCCAATCTATGAAGCCGATGCAGACAGCATCCTCCGAATCTCGATCGGCGTTGCGCAAAACAGTGGCATCGGCCCTGAAACCAAGGCCGCCCTGGACGTGATTAAGAATACACTTGCAGAGGCTCCCGAGAAGGGTAAGGGGCACATTCGAAGCATCATCAAGATCTGCAGCAGTGTCTTCTCACATAAACCGTCCCCCACATCTGCTGATATAGAGACGGAGGGTGCTTGTGGCAAGCTTGCGCTGGAGATCGTCGGGAGCCTACCACATACATACGACTCCCAGCACTTGATACCACATGCGCCTCAAGTGCAACGACAGTTGACATTGGTGTGTGGACACCGTGTACGAGAGGTGAGAAAGACAGCACGATTGGCAAGGGCAGCTTGGGTAGATCTCAAGTGAGATGACGAGCTGTTTTCTACATAGAGGCAATGTGAGAGCATTATGGGACTTGATCTCCTTTTCGTGATTGGCGATAGATAGGTACTCGGAAAAGGTTCATATAGCACAGAGACCATTCAGAGTTGGACAATAATCAAGCACAAGAACCATAATCAGACGTTCTGTCGGAGTTCTGACAATGTCCTGCCAGTGCATGGTATCAATATGGTTCCCTACAAACGCCATACTATATATAACCACTTCTTCGTCTCCCATACCCCTTTTTACGCCTTGCGTCGCTTACCACCCTTCTTCTCAGTTACTTCTGGTGTGGACGCGGCCTCAGCACCAGTGGCGTTGGCAGCCAGAATAGCATCGAGAACATCAGGGCTGGCATCCAACAACTCCTTAGAGACGGCGACACGCTTGGGGTCCCGCTTGCCGATCAAAGGTACTGAGTTTGCGAGCAGCTCCTGGAAGGGAACAGCAACAAATTGGCCAGTCTGGTCGAACCAGCCGCTGAAAGGCTTGGAGATTTTGTGAACAGTGGATTTCGAGTTCTTATCGGTGACGGTAATAGTGAGGTTGTAGATGGGGACGTTCTTCTTTGTAGAGCTGCTGATGGAGATCTAACAAAGGTGTTAGTAGACTGCAAAGAAGATGTGAGCAACTTCGCCTGACCTTCTCTCCTGAGGGTGAAGTTCCCTCGTACACGACACCCTTTTCACGGAACATAATCCATAGTGTCAAGGCGCTATTGATCAAGGTGTAGAGCGTAACGGCAGCAGCTGTGTAGTATTTCGTGCTCTCGAAGCCCAGCTTGTAGTCCCAGAGGAAACAAGCAGCTGCAACGCCGAAAGCAGTGTATCCGAGCGCAAGGCGGACATCGGTGAGGGTATGAGATTGGCGAAACTTGAGAGAGTTCAGGTAGTTGGGGATAGCATCGTCGGATGTGTTTTTGAGGTCTGTGTCGCGAAAGCCACCGTGTCAGAAGATTGTCTCGTATAAGAGCTTATGAGGAGCGGGAAAGCTTACCAGCAAGATTATAGACCGAGATCTTTTCAGCGGCGTTGGCCATGATGAATTATAAGTCCGCAATGGCTTGTTCCGGAGAAATTGAGTGCTGTGGTATGTTGCTAAAGAAAGTGGTCGTTTTCTCTGTGTACAAGTATCGAGACTCGCTGTCATGGGAAGTCTGTCGTGGGGCCGAAGTGAAGCATGTGGATAGCTGTCCCTTCATCAAAAGTCTAACCCCGAACAGCTAAACTCCTCTGTAAAGTGTGGCTGCTCCAGGGTCGTTAGTGTACCGCCACCACACCAATCATACAGCTCCGCTTACATGTGGCGTCTGTTGCCTTGAATCGTGGCTATTTGACGACCTTGAACCTCACATCTTCAACAGCTCCATTGCAACGCGGCATCAGCTTCGCCCCCCAACGCTGCTATTCTACGCCTGCAACTATCGACATCATGGCGCAAGCTCCGGTTCAAACCCTTCATAGGGATCCTCAGTTATTGTTCGTCACCTCCCGAATGTTCCGCCAATGGACGAAGCCACTAACTTGAACTTGTAGCTACTGGATCCTTATCCCCATCACCATTGTCATGGTCTTGACTGGTGTGCTCCGTCACTACGCATCTGTTCTTATGGCGACCGCACCTAAGAAGCAGGACGAAAAGGCGATGCGTGAGCAACGCTTCCTTGCTCGGGGTGTAGCTCTTCGGACCAACCACCATGTCCTCTCACAGAAGGCATTCGAATCTCGACGTGATGTTCTGACAACCAATTACGAGGCTGGAACATACCTCAAGGAGCCCGATCGCAAGGGCCAACCTCCCGCCAACCCTCTGTCCGATCCCAGCGCTATGGACGGCATGATGGGTATGATGAAGAACAATATGGCCATGATTATCCCCAATACGCTCATCATGAGCTGGATCAACGCTTTCTTCAGTGGATATGTTATTAGTATGTTGATTCGTCGTTGAATCTGGAAAATACTAACCGTTACAGTGAAATTACCCTTCCCCATTACTATCAAATTCAAGAGCATGCTCCAGGCTGGTGTTCAGACCAGGGAAATGGACCCTCGATGGATGTCCAGTATCAGCTGGTACTTCCTTTGCATCTTCGGCCTCCAGTTTGTTTATGTATTCCTTCTTGGTAGTGACAACGGTAAGCGTCCTGATCTGGAAATTCCTTGGCCATCCACTAACACAATGCAGCCGCCAGCCAGGTTGCTCAGCAAATGCAAGCGCAGCAGATGCCCAACCCCATGATGGGTGGTCCTGGCCAGGACCCCCACAAGCAGTTCGTGGCCGAGATTGAGAACTTGAACGTTGTGGAGCACTACTCTGTTCTGGACAACGTTGAGGAACGTCTGTTGGCGGGTATCAAATCGTAGATTCATAGAACGAGCAAATGTACATACGCCAAATAAAACGCGGTGACATATTTCCCCTGGGCCCATGTTCTTCCGTAATTCCTCAGTCCATTATCCAACACTATGCTCCATCCCACCAGAGACATACACCTAATCCTTCAGCAGCCATACTGGCCTTGATGCGGTACGGGGTTTTCAAGGGCGAATCTTCGGCTTGTGTTGGTCCAGCGGGAGCTTGATCATGCCACTCCTCATCGATGACTTGAAAGCGAACCATCTCATGGTTATCATAGAAGAGTCGGTCCTCATCGAGATTCCAGATCCAGAGTTGTTCGCTGTGGTTGCTGCACGGTGTTAGCGTCTGCATGTGCAAACCATCACGGGCTACTCACTACTCAGCACCCTCTGGTAACTCCTCAAATGGCACAAAGATATCGTCAAAGAAATCTGTTCTCAGATTGATACCTGCTGGTGTAGAACTTCGTATTCTGCCAATCATGACTTCGCCTTTGAAGGGACGGAATACGACCATACGAAACTCAGCTACGCGGGGCTCCATTAGCTTCACACCAAGTTCAAAGTGCATTTCTACTCACTGTTCACGTTCACCAGACCTGTGCCATGACCAATGAGACCTTCTGAAGCCCACTGCAAATCATACAAGCAGATACAAAGTCCAATCTTTTGAATAACCTGCAACGCTTTGTTAGTCACGGTTCAATATGCGTACGATGCGTAAGATAAATTTCACTTTATTAGAGTATTTGGCATTGATATTGTCCTCGATTGCGTCTATGCTGCGCTTGGAGAAATCCTCCGGCGCAATTTGCACCAAGTCGGCGATCTTCGTCTAAACAACTTATGAGTTCTTCATTCATGCATCCATAGCAGGGCGAAACTAACCAGGATGAACATTGGATCACCGACTGCGGGTAAAATGAGTCAATGTGAGTCTTTCGGTAAGTCTTGGATAGAAAGGAGATATCAAAGATCGCTCAAGGCCTATGAAAAGAAATTCAGCTTTATGAAGTTCTTGCGTACCAGCCTCAGGGCGTTTCTCAGCGTCCAAAGAACCTTATGAGCGGCAGAAAAGAATGCCAGTGCCGCTAAGCCCCCTTGGGTTGGATTGAAGCTCCAAGCATCTCACCGCCTTCCAAATGAAGACTGGTACACCAACCGCGACTGCGGTGTACAGGGAAGTTCGTCACAGTCTGGCGTTCCAGAGGAAGCTCCTTCTGTCTTTCAATCATTGTCGTGCCGTCTTTTTTTGGAAAGGGCATCACAAACGGGCAACTGCAGTCCTGGTGCCATTGCCCCAATTACCGGCCTGAGAGTTCCAACAACATATTTTAACCCTGATTCCTACTCTCTTTTACTTGAATTCTTTCTCACGCTATCTTATCCCACCTACGTAAACTTGTACTCCGTCACAGCAACTCTAGATTTTTTACCACCCCCGACTTTCGTCTCACTGAATCCCGACACTCCATCGAGTAACTTTGCGAACAAACAATCGATTCAATTACAAACACACGCCCTGAAGCTTCGATCTCCAGCTGAAAATCCGACTTTACCCTTCGTGGTCTTCAAATCCTGCCACCTAGGCGTCGACCCCCCTCCGTCTACTGCCATCAACACCTATCTTCACCATGTCAGGTTACGGTTACGGTCCTCCACCTCCGCCGCCACCGCCTTCTTCTGGTGGAACTTCAAGTTATGGGCCACAAGCTCCATCATACCCTCAACATGGCCAAGGTCGAGGAGGGCATCACGGACGAGGACGCGGTGGCCATTACAATGGCGGCCGTGGAGACTACCATGGCTCCCCTCAAGGCCATTATGAGTACAATGGCCAGCCATATCCTCCCCATCACAACCCGCCCCCCTACGGTGCCGCGCATCCTCCTGCAGGAAGCTACGCTCCGCAGCCTCAATGGGGGCCAGAGCATGGGCATCCTCCTCATGGGCACCCGCAAGGTTCTATGCCTCCAGGCAATTACCATCCCAACTATCCTGCCCAGCCATACCCTCCCTCCCAATACCCTCAACAGCCACCTTACGGTGCTCCACAGGCGTATCCTTACCAAGGGCCACCTCCCCCAAACCAGGCCCAGTGGAGTGGTGCTGGACAGCCCCCAGGAGGCCCTTATAGCAACGGGAGAGGGCGCGGCGGTTACAATGACCGCAACGGTCCAAAGCCCCCGTTAAATGGTCCCGTGCGACCTGGCTATGAGCATGAAGCCATGCCACCAGCTAATGGCTATGGTCAACCTTATCCTCATGACCCACGAGCAGTTCATTACCCTCCTCCTCAGTATCCGGCATACCCTGGCCCCCCTCTGCCCCCTGGTCATCATCAGGACGGCTACTACGGCCACAACAACCGCCGCGGTAGAGGAGGCTTTCGTGACGGGAACACTCGAGGTCGCGGAGGTCACCATGGAAATGACAAGTCACGTCACCAGAAACATGGAAACAACGACTCTGCTCATCACAAATCCGAAACCCCAACTTTGGGAAAGAAGAAGAAGCGCAAGACCAACACTCTCGGTCTTACCCCTGGTATGGATTCGGAGTCTGAAGATGACGAAGGTGAGGAGAAGGTTTTGACGGACCTGATCGGACAAGAAACACTCAAGTAAGTACTAGTAGCTCTTCCGTTATAATATTGCTAACAATTACAGTGTGAAAGATGTTGCCTCTTTCCTAGCGGAGAGAAAGAAGCATTTCCCCACCAAGGCTCGTGTAGAAGCCAAGAAGACTGCCGAGTTGGCACAGAATGGCGAAGACAAGGCCTCGTCGCTAGAAAAACAAGCCGACAAACTCAGACGACAGTTGCGCAAAGTTGAGTCGTCGATCAAGCGAAAGCGAGAACAGGGTGACGAAGGTGACGAGATGCGAGACCCATCAGAGGAGTCATCAGATGACGAGCCAGAAGTTATGTCTACTCGTGCCCATGTTGCTCCTCCGCCTCCTCCGCCGGCCAAGAAAGCCGACGTATCCAAGCACTGCAAATATTATTCCACTGGTGGTACATGCGGCAAGAAGGGCAAGTGCCGCTTCGTCCATGATCCTGAAGTCCGTGAAGCAGCCATGAAGGATCGTGAGGCCAACAATGGACGGCTCACCATTCAGCAACGTTTGATTCTCAACGACAAGGAGCAAGAAGATCTTACTGTCCTTCAGTCAATCCAGTATCTTCGCAAAAAGGGACTCATGCAGCCTGAGGAGTCTGAGGTCAAAAAGGAGACACATGCAGTCAAGGCTGACCTACCGGCCCATCCGCCTCCTTCAAGCCTTCTTCCTGCTGCATCGGCGTCACTTCCCCCTCCACCTATCAAGCGAGAGCCTAACTTGCCTCGTCATAACGCACCTCCATCCATCATCCCTAGTGCCAACGGTAGCAGCACTCAGGGAGTCAAACCATATCAAGGATGGAACCTGAGGCCTTATGGAAGCACTGGTGGGAAGTCGTCCAAGAGTGACGACCTCCCTTGATCAACTTATGTCACGGTGCTGGCCCGATATTGTCTTGATCGATATCTGGCCCGCCAGATTGTGACTTGGTACCCCTTATAAGGATAGTTGTCCTGGCCTGGAATTACATTTCCTTATATACTGTGTATAAGTATAACAGCCGATTATTAACGTCGAGCTTACTGTGGGTTGTCTGCACCTTTTTCACGCACCCAAACGATGTCAGGTTGTCTCAACAGAGTTCAAGAGCATGGCTATATCAGTGGCGAGCTTCACTGAAGATTGTTTACCGTATCTGTTAGGACGTTCCCGGGGTGCATTGCTTTTGGATTGGACTGGGAAATGAGGCGTTATTTAATCAGTCAAGGGCATTAATGGCGTCTAAACTTTAGACTTCTTGGGGTCGGAAAATATATATTTCATGCTTCTGTCTTGCGCATTGCCCAGCCAGTCTTTCTCAACATAAACAATTAATGTACCCATAGACATCGCAAAGTTGTGGCTCTCATGGTTACACACGACCAATGTTCCCACTGTTGCAGTAAAGTAATGGCCTAGAAGATATCGATGGTTACGCGAGTGCGCTGTACTCTTTGAGTTTGTGCTAATGGCGTAGTGATAGAATGAGCAACCGAGGTTTCAACAACACCGGAGTCGTAAGAGACAGGTCACGTTAAAACAGAAAATCTTGCTTATATAAGGATGTAGTGGGAATCGTGAGATTTAACAATTACTTCTAGACAACGATGTCATTGTGAAGCGTTGTCTACATATATCCATCTCTGTCTACAGTGCATCGACTTCGCCATGCTATGACTAAAAAAAAGGCTCCAATGATTTCGTCCACTTCTTGTCTTTAATCCATCCTCATCGCCAGTGTCCTTTGCCAAAACCATGCAAACCACCCTCGAATGAAGACGTAACAAAGGGAAATAAAATGGGGGAGGAAAGATGACAACTCCGTCGCTAATGTAACCCCTGAACCAAAAACAATCGGAAGCAAAGTGCAAAATGGTGAAGTTGTGAAGATGTGGTGAAAAAGTCAAGCTCATGAAACGTCCCTTGCTAACAAACTCCTCGACCGTTGCTTGCGTGTGAAGAAATCTCGAGTAAAGAAGGATGGCGCAGATATCCAAAGCTGGGTGAAGGATGGTAATGTCCGATGTGATGGGAGTAAGCTCCAAGCACGATAGGCCCAGCTGAGGTGAGCGGCCAAATAGATGGCACAAGTAGACGTCGAGATGTTCCCATCAACGCCGACCACGCATGGCTTCCAAGGCCTGTCGCTTACGAGCCTCTTTCTCGGCCTTGAGTTGCTTCTCGAGCCGCTCTTCTTTAAGATCTTCGATCTTGGCAAGTCGCTCTGCTTGCCGCTCTTCGTCGTCGATATCATCCATGCCCGCCTCCATATCTGAAGAACCATCGGAAGCATAATCATATCGTGGACCACCGTCATCTTCTTCGTCGTCATAGTCAATAAAATCATCCAGGTCCTCGTCATAATCGTCTTCAAATCGTGACTTTGAACGTGATGGACGAGGAGCTCGCGGGGCACTGAGTAATGCGCCACCACGAGGGGTTTCCTTCTTCTTCTTGCCGGCGTCACCTCCTGGTCTGGGTCTGGCAGTGCCCGTATAACCAGTCGTAGCCATGGCGGCCTTCTTCACCTTCTTGGTTTCTTCCTCAGGGGGTGCGGCTCTACCTGATGACTTGCTGCCGGCCATCTTGCCACGTTCTGCCTTTGACGGAGGCAAGGGCTTTCCATTACGCGGATCCCTTCCGGTTCCAGAGACAGGTGCGCCATTCCGTTGAGCTGGCCTTTGACCTGGTTTCGCTGTACCGGAGTAGCCTGAGTGAGCAGGTGGTGGGCGTTGCTTCATATTTTTGGCTGCTCGAGGATCTACCTTTACAGGTGGTTCCTCCTTGACCTTCTTCAACGCACCACCTTCAACCTTCTTGTGTTGGATCTTGCCAACTTGCCCCATCGATTGCTGGGCCTTCTGAGCCCGAGCAAGAATCTCAGCAAAAGACCCCTTCTTCGGCGGTGCTGAAGATGCGCTAGCAGGACCCGGTGACGGTCTGCTGGGGGCAACAGGCTTGGAGACCCTGTTACCCCCATTCATGGGTTTGGACGACAAGACCGAAGGTTTACTAGTGCCATTCGAGGGGTTCGAGGGTCGTTGTGAGGGTATCGATCTATCGGCGGGTCGTGATGGGAGATTGGGTCTTGAGACAGCAGTAGGGGATTGTATCGATCGTGGCGCCACGGTACTGGATAATGTGGTCACTCGAGGTGCCTTTGAAATACTCGATCGAGGATCATCGTCGGCCTTCCTCTTGGGCAACGTGTTGGATCGGACCAGGCCCTGTTTCGGGGGTACGGAAGATGCCTCATCACCACCACTGATCTGGGCGAGGAGGTCTCCAATCTTGAAAGCCATGGTCAACTTTTTCCTGATACTCACGAAGTTTGCCTCCGGGGAGTTACTCACCGGCATCGCGTCGTTAATGTAGTAAAAAAAAACTTAAAAATATCAGTTGACTAGAGTCCTCAAAGACAGAGAGGAACAAGTAGCCTCAGGCGTGGATTGTGAGTCATTGAGCGGCTGGCAAAAGCTTGTTCACTCGGTCTGTCGTCAGGCACTTTTTTTGACGTCGTTAAACTCTCGAGTTTAAGACTTTCTGGTGATAAGAGGCGCAGAGTCGATAGAAGGGCTATTCGTGGTCGTATTTGCTCGAAAATCTCATCAAATACGCCTGAAATACAGGCGATCACGAAACAAAAGAAGAGGAAAACACACAGTTAGTGAAGAGCAAAGAATCAGTCAACAGCCAACTTTATGGGCGAGGCCATGGAATAAGGAAAGCGCCACAGGCCGAACGCAGTCACGTGGGGATGTGGTATCTGTGGCGGTGCGACCAACGGATCCGGCGCTTGTCTTGTTCCGATCTTCCCCCGCCATGACCTACCCTCAAGGTTCAGGTGCTTTCGGCGTGAGTCCTGCCCAAAAAACCCCGCCACACGTGACCCCGAGGTCTCGCCAAAGTATTGGTTCCCACAGGATCAAAAATCGCCTTTAGCTTTCACGGGATCGCGAACTTTTCTACTTTTTGTCACACCGAACAACCTCACCACCGAACTCGAAGGTTTCAGTCTCCGCCCAACTTGCGGTTAAAGTGATTGATTTCTCGTGTTCTCTTCCGACTTCAGATGTAAGTATATAACTGTGCCCCCCCCCTGGCCTGGACTTGACAAGTTGCAACATCTTTTCAACAAGAACTTTTTTCTAATCTCTTTTGATTCAGAAACCACTATCAAAATGAAGCACCTCGCAGCTTACCTTCTTCTCGGCCTTGGAGGCAACACCTCCCCCTCTGCCGCCGATGTCAAGACCGTTCTCGAGTCTGTTGGCATTGAGGCTGACGACGAGCGCCTCAACACCCTGATCTCCGAGCTCAAGGGCAAGGACATCCAGGAGGTAAGACTCGATAATAATCACTGTGCGACTGTATTGTACTAACAATCATACAGCTCATTGCTGAGGGCTCTGAGAAGCTCGCTTCCGTTCCCTCCGGCGGCGCTGGTGGTGCCGCCGCTGGTGGTGCTGCTGCCGCTGGCGGTGCCGCTGAGGAGGCCAAGGAGGAGGAGAAGGAAGAGGAGAAGGAGGAGTCCGACGAGGATATGGGCTTCGGTCTCTTCGACTAAGCGATCTCTATCTAAAGATCTGCACGGTTACGCCCCCTCACGAATTTCGAAGTTGCTACGCACGGGTTGTTCACCAGTTCTTACGTGTCACTGGCGTGGATGGATTGGCCACTCATGCCTGGATTGGGTCTCTGTAAAAATGAGATAAATGCGGTCTATGAAAATTAAAAAGGCGGTTCGGCTCTTCGAAAACTTGTTCCACTGTGAAAGATCTTCCTCGTGTCTTGGTGCCTCGTCATGTCTAGGTGACGCCACACCAACTGGTTCTAATTAGGGTTTCTGGCATGCCACACTTTGTCAAGCATGACTGTTCGGTCTCACGGCGTGTGGCATCACAGAACTTACCCTATGACTGATGATGATATAGAAATGATTCTCATTTCTTTGGCCAGCTCCTGTGGAAGTAAAACCTTGAGGCCTTGGTTTAGGGGCTCAACGACGATGAGCGAAGCAACCTCCCAAGTTCATTGTAAAGTTTCGTCAGTACCATATTTTACCGCCTCCCTCACCCTCAAATTTACTGGCCTTTTTCAAGCAGTCAGTTGTTTCTGAGTAACATTGGCGTGCTTGGGTCAAACTGCATTGATCATTGCTCGACCATGTGGTGTTAGGCGATGTCCGTAGTGTGCAAACATGATGAGTTTCATCAGTCAATTACGACCCGGAACAAGTTGTCAAGCCTTTTCTGTGTTCTCATATGACCTCAGCGGCTCAAGTCTCTCCTGTGCCCTCTTCATCCGATGATGAGATTGAGCTTGGCCGTCAAGGATCTGAGACTAGGCATTCTAGGCATTGACCTCAGCGAGTTTCAGCACCGACTGCGAATTCTGTGTTGTCTCGAGTCATTCTTGTAGTGTGTGAATCAATTCCACGTCATGCAAGTCTTTGTTTCTGGCAGGTTTTGATGGGGTTTGACGTCTATGGCTGGTGCCTTTAGATCTTGAATTTGGTACATTTTAATAAACTCATATAGTAAAATAACTTATTGTTTTATAGTACTAACAAGCTATAATTGCGAATGGCTGATTCCAAGTCAAGGGTATGAAGTTTGAGATATCCCTAAGCCATCCGCAAGATTAAAGATCTCTGATATCGTAAAGTATAAGTGAGTTTAAGCAAACACAAAAATCGCATCATCACAAAATGCTTTCCCTACAGAACTCCCGTGTAACATGACACTCCCGTTGAACGCCTCTTTATAGTGATTCGCATACACCGTAATATGTACGACCTGCCTTGTTGGATTTCGTATACGTGACAACTATTTCGTGGGACGGTATCCCTGCTCATCCCCGTTCCATGAGAATCCCCTTCCGTCATTGTTGTTGTTGTACGCGGGCAGAGGAGAATGGTTGGGGTCTGGAGATCCAGGAAGTTCCACGGGGGCGATTTGCTCGTGAGGCTTGGGAGTTGTAGCGGGAGAAGCGGCCATAGGTGGTTGGTGGTAACCCTCGCTGTAAAGAGTTAGAATACGCAGATGAGAGTCGGACTCGAGAAACTTACTGGTATGAAATAGGGGTTCCATCTTGAGCGACCATGCCTGGGTGTGTTCCATAGGGAATGGAGTGGTGAGGGCTGAGAGGAGGGCTCTGGCCGTAAGGAGCAGCCACAAGGCCAGGGCTCTTCTGAGCAGCCCAGGGATCGGCGACACTTGGGTGAGGAGAATAAGGGTTCTCGACGACGGGAGGAGCAGGAGGAACACTGTTGCGGAAACTCTTGCGATAGGCCTTGTCGAAGCCACCTCGTCGTCCACAGAGATAGAGAAGAGCACCGGCGAGGAGAAGGACAGCAGCACCACCGACGGCAATACCAGCAATGGCTCCAGTAGAGAGAGACTTCTTGCCGCTTCCGCTGCTCTCGTCATCATCTGCATCACTATTGTCGGCGGTCGGTTCAGACGTTGCGCCACTAGAAGTTGACTCTCCCTCCTTTGGCCAAGGGTCTCCAGGTCGTAGTTGCACGTCGACGTCCTCTGCGTTCTTAAGCCACCCTTCAATTGTCTCATTATTGGACTGTTGAGTTTATGTTAGTTTATGGGTGCCATGTATGCGAGAGTGTAGGTCTTACAGGGTTCACGACACCCATCATCTTCCACTTGGAGCACGACTCTGGAGCTCCGCAGTAGAAGAAGAAGGGATCAGTGTTGTTTACACGAACTCGGTATCGTGGGCCATCGTCAGTGATGGCCTGAACCTTTTGAGTACCACTTGAGAACCCCTGGCGGTTCACTCCGATATACTCGTATGGGATACATGGGTTGTCATAGTCTCCTCGAATAACCCAGTGGTCAGTGGGATAGAAGCGCCATTCAATAATATCACCAACATCGGCCTTGACCTCGTTTGGGGTGAACTTGTGACCGGACTGTATACTAATTAGCATTGATGTGTCTGTATTGTAGCCATGATGTCAACTTACTGCTCCAACATTGACAGTGTGTGTTACAGCCTCTCCAGATGAAGTTCCTGTGGAAGACTCCTCGGCTGTTGCTGTAGGTTCGTCTGTTGTTGTCTGAGCCCAGGCTGTAGCGAGAGCCGCTGTGAGGACTAGCAATGACTTTGAAACCATTTTGAATTAGTTAACACTGAGGAACAGCTTGGGTAGAGCAAGCCAGGTTTCTAAGGTCAAGAATGAAAGTGACGACGAAACAAAACAGAAACAAAACGAGAGAAAGAGGAGGAGGAGAAACGAGGCGGGAGGAGCTGAGTAATGAAGAGAGAAATGTCACAGTCCACGACAGACGGGAACGGTAACTCTCGTCCCTTTTACCTTGCCGTTGTACCACGGCGAACCCATAGGGCAGTACATGACATGACAGGGGAGGGGGATGGATGATATTGAAGGAGGCAGGGCTAGACAAAGACGGGATAAGGAGGGCTGACAACAGACAGCTCGAGCATCTCTTGGCTTCGGGTCAAAAGACTAGGGGATGGGGATGGGGATGGGGGGCCAAGGCCTTGAGAGTGAGTTTCTGGGGGCTGAGTGAATGCACAGCTCTGCTTCGCTGCTTCGGTTCAGCACACCATTTGTTTCTATCAGTGGATCTGCTCTGCTCTAACTATGAGTTCCCGTATCTACGTATATGGGCCTGTCTTGTTGGTGGAGGAGGAGGAGGAAGAGGATGCATGGGTTAGTTAGAGGTGAACAAAGGAGCCAAGATGGCCAAAGCCCGCTCACTTTTCTCGTCTGTCTCTCTCGGCGATCCCACTAGGTAACTCAGCCCTGTTCAGATTAAGATGAGTATCACGAAGCATTGGTTTTTTGCTGTCTTTTGGTTCCTTTGCTCGAGTTACTGAAACTCGTACTGTATAGTTATGTGTAGTCGTGATCTCGGGCTTTGTTAGTTTCAAGATAGAGTTGGCCACTACCTACCTATGCTTAAGCCTAGACTTAAAAGTCTCCCACCAACCAACCACTAGGTACCTACAATCAAAGTACAGTACTCTGCTCTACGTACTGTACTGTACTATCCACTGCAGCACAGTAGAAAAGTCTTTCTCTCTCAAAGGATTTTCCTAATCTCCACTGTCAGCTTATTATTCTGTGCTGTGCTGGACTGTCGAACAAGGTTCCCTACCGTACCGACACAGTCAGCACTATCCAAGGATTATATGTAGGGATGTTCTATATCCGACCAGTCAGCACCAGCCTCAACTAATAAGCAGCAATTTGAGGTTGCATTTTTGCTGGGCTTATTAGTATCCATGGCCATGCCAAGCGCTGCAGCAACGGACACTAACTTGGTTATTTTGGGGCCCAAGATTTCAACCTCACCTCTTCTCTCTCCCTTGCAGTTGGAGCTGCATATGCAACTGCAACTCCATAACAAAGGCTGAGCAACACGGCCGAGGCTTGCTTGTTTCTTTCGCTCTCTTTCGGAGCTGTTGGCCCATTGTGGGTTAACCCAAGTTTGACTACATATTCCTGGCCACTCCGCAATTTGCCATGAAAATCATCCATCTCAGCCTTATACACCAGAGACTCACCATCTAGTACTAACTATGTATGCTAGATTGTACTGTACAGGCCGCGGGAGGATCAATGAAACACTTGTTTACCCAGCAATGACACGTTGCGTTTCTCTTGGCTTGGTTGATCAAACTGGGACTTTACTTTGGGGTCTGTCTATCTATCCTCACATCACCATGTTTATAACCAAAGTGCCACTCCTAAATATGAAAGATCGGTTGATGCAGGGCAAGGATTATATTTAATATCCTTGCCCTGCAAATCCGTCTCTCGTCCCTCGGGTCTCTTCCACGCGTTCTACCAAGTCCGTCCCTCGCTCTCAGCTCTGTCTCACTCGTCAATCATATATATCTCGTCATCTCGGCCAAAACTTGGGACTTACATTATCTAATGATTCGCTTGTGAACGAGAACAACTCCATGATAAGTTATCCTGCATAAAATCTTACTCGACAAGATTCTTCTCCACCAATAGACATCGGGTAGGTCCTCGGTCATTGGTATATGATCCAGATCAGCAATCTCCTCACCTGATTCATTTGGCCCCCAATAGCTCTTCTCCTCCCCCAAGCATGCAACCTCACCCCCCAACTTGTTTTGCCTCGTGGGTCAGAGAACCAAGAGTCTTGAATCTTGCCTTACCTCACACGCTTCCAGAATCAGCATCTTATTCCCGACCTTGCAGACTTGAAAGTGCATGCGTCCATCGTATTCCGATATGACCAACCCTTGGCTTTCTAGAACTGATTACCAAGACTGACACTGATGATGAGGCAAAGTAGAATGTGAGATTCTGAATGCACGACTCCCAGCTTCCCCAAGAGACCTAGTGTCAGCAAAGATCTGCAAACAACTCGACCAGGCTCTCAAATCGGATCAAACCCCAGTTAGAAGCACATGTATATTTCACGCATCTGGTAGCTTGAACACTTGGCGAAGTCCGCTCCAGGCCTTCCAGCCTCTAATGCCATGAATATGGTCATTCTCTGAGGCTCATGGTGAACAATCTCTGCCGTGGCAATGACAGGCTCTCGGTGGCAATGCAGCAGCAAGATCTAAGCATATTACCATCCTTCATCATGGCCTGGAACTTACCTGGTCACTTCATCTCTAATACGAAGAAGGATGAGGCCGTGTTCTCAGGCATCAAAGTGCCATTCTCCAAGCCCAGCGTAGTCTCGGTGTCGAAACCATGATGATCCATGACTGCGCCTTGAACGGGAGTCGCATTCATCCCAACAACTCCTTCATCTGCCGTACTCGAGATTCAAGCCCCTTCTCAAATCCTTCTTTTGCCTAGAATGTCACGTTGGAACGGTTCCTGCAGCCTGTACCAGCAAGAAAATATCAGCAGTCCTTGATAATTCACAATCAGCCCAAGATCTTCTGTATTCGATGTCAAGATGAATTATCTTTGTTATCTTTCTATGATCCTCTGATCTCATAGTTATCCACAGATCTTGTCGTCACTGGACGGGAGAACAATACTTTTGGGTAACATCTCAGCTTATGTGCTATCTTAGAAGTCTGACCAAGACATACAACGCTCTTATCCAGTCATTTAGCCGAGGTCTTTTCTGCATATAAGTACAATTCGCAATCCTCCTCGATATTTGAGAGGCCAAGAGTTATGTCAATTTGACAAGATTTTATTGCTCCTTGGGTGGTTGTGCTATCTCACTAGAAATAGTGTCGGCTGTGTCTACCTTTAAGCTGCCAAGTCAATGACGGAGTGAGAATGTGTTCATTGCTGTCATCGCCAGTGTCCAACGAGTTGAGTCGTGTGTAAGCATTCTATCAGTCGACAACCAATATTGCTCTTCGACCTTGGTCAGCCACGATTGCCATGGCTCTCTGGAGTTGCTGCCCAAACACAACGCAGATTATTCCAATAGACGAGATGGGATGTCGAAAGAGTTACACCCATTAACGAATAGCCTGGCACAGAGTAGGACACAAGTTGAACAAGCCCATTCTAGCAGTTTGAACAACACTGAAGAAATAACGCCAAATCACAATCGTATTGAAATCTATTATCGACCAAAAAAACCTCTCTACAAGGTCTTGCTCTTTTTATCCTTCTTACTTGTTGAGCCTCCAGGTAGTAGGTCGCTCTCTTGAATGAGCTTGAAGAAGCACCAAACATAACAGATAATGAAACCTGCAGCACCAATTCCAACATTTGCCACGACCCATAGGTCGGGCTTATCAGCAGGAGGTGTTACAAATGTGTCAAGAACATGCCACGCACCCATGGCGGCATAGAACAGCAGATGCAATAATGCTGTGCACCATTGCAACCAGGCAGCTTGACCTTCTTGGAAGTAGGCGCTCAAAGAGGTCGGTGGGAGACCCAGCAGGTAGGACCAGAGGAGGGTCAAAACCGCATATGGAACTCTCAGGTCAACCCGTTTGAGCAAGGGGAACATAGTCCAGACTCCCAAGAGGTTGGCAAAGCCCACCCAAGCTCGTGTGTCTTTGTTCAACCCGTGCTTTCCAGCCAGAAGCAAGGTCATGGGCATTAATGGAAGCAAGACACTCTTCTCATGCACTTGGTAGCTGAACAAGAAGAACCCCCAAGCTGTGGCAGCAAATGCCAAAGGTAGTGTGGACTTTCGTGGTCGCAGGAAGAGGATAATGTTAGGTGGGATAATCGAACCAAGAGTAGCACCAAGAGCCGCTTTTTGGAGTAGGGCCGTTGGCCACTGTCGGAGCTTTATAACGACATTGGCGGCACACCAAAAGTTGGCGACCTTGTCCTCAAACAGGCCACGCGCGAATGGGAAGACACGGTGGACCATCTGAACCAACTGTTCCACAATAGGCCAGTAAAAGGCTTTGGTGTCTAGAATTTCAACTAGCTGAGGAAATAGCGGGAGTGAAGGAGAATCCTTGGAATCTCCGTGAGCATCGATGCCCTGGCTCTTGTCGTAGAGTGTACCAAGAACCAGAGGCAGGATTAGGATAGCAAAGGAAACAGCTGTCACAAGGGCGATTCCAAAGAGCCTAGTAAAGTTAAGTCGAGGGTAGACGCAGCGGCCGAGAAGGTAGGAGAAGACGCTGAAGGCATAATACAGAGCCATCTGCTTGAAACCCAGCGCGCCGACGAAGAAGACAGCAGCCCACTTGTAGCGTTCAGCCAGCATACTCGACATGCTCGCCATGACAAATCCGAGCATAACGGTGTTGTACTGGAAGTGAACATGGTCGATAAGAATGGTGGCAGGCTGCATTAGAATCGCGACGAGCGCAAGCCACGCTGTCCAGTTGGTAACCCCTTGCAGTCTGCTATATCGTCGCACGAAGACAATGGCGGCTGGGATGTAGATGAGGTACTCCGAGATGATGACTGTTGTCCTCATGAAGATCTTGAGGTTGGGGTCCTGGTTTCCTCGAGAGGTGAAGAGCGCAAACCACGAGGGATCGATGAGAGAGCCAATCTTGCCCAGAAGCCAGCTGTGGTAGGCCGTCAGGGGAGGATAGTCGAGACCCCACCATTGAAGATCGTGGAAATACCATTGCGATATGGGAAGTTGTGTCGTGACCTCCATCCAATGCCGCTGCGCTTCGTAGTCTCCAAACATGGGCGGTTTGCTGAACCCTGCAAATCATGCTCCTCGTTAGCGAAAGGTGTCATGATGGTCAAGTCGAGCGGCCATCCTTACCAGAATATCCCCACAGACCAGCAGCCCATCGAAAAAGACCAACTACCATGAGAATCACAGGTAGAACTTCCCATTGCGACAAAGAAGTCCGCGCAGGCCACAGAAACGCTGCGAGAGGGAACGCGGGCGCCCGTACCAGGGCTTCTGTGCGAGGGGCATTGTCGCTGCCGCCATTGCCAGGTTTCTTGGTATTAGCCTTGCGACGAGGCTTGTGCGGTGACGGAGAAGGACCAGCCATTGTCACCTCGAGATAGCGAGAGTCGTCATTAACAAGAGTGGTTCGGTTGATGAAGGAGGAGGAGAGAGCGTGCGTGGAGCTGGTAGCTCTAACTAGATGGAATCCAATGCGACCCCGGAAATTTTGGTGGAGCTTCAATTGTAGGCAGAGCATCGGCCGAACCCCGGAGCCAGGAGAGGGCAGAGACGTCACTTGAGCAGTGCGTAAACAACTGATATGCGCACAGTACAGTACAGTCAGTACCTGATGGTGATATCGTCAGGCCTGGGCCTGGACCAAGAGCTTGGCAAAAGAAATTGAACTCAAAACTTGATCTTCACTCTTTTCTTTTCTTTTCTTTCCTTTCTGCTACTGCAAATTTCTCTATATTCAACCTCAGAGTGAGGTCTCCCTTCTCTTAACTCGAAATGCCGTTCCCTTTCATTCTCCCGACGACTTCGGCTTTCTCATTCTCATCAAGCTTCAGTTCCGAGTCTCATCCTTCACTGCCCCTCAACGCCAGCACATATCGTGGGGTAGTTCGAGATGCCCTGAAAAAGCACAAGAGACTTCCCCCAAGCTCTCAGGTCTCAAATCTAAACACAGTCATTTCCAGCGTCAATGGCTACATCCCGTACTTGCTAGCAGTGGACGACGGTCTAAGTAACAAGGGTCTGGCTGTCGTTACGCAAAAGACGCCCCCAGCTATCGAATGGAGACCAACTTTATCTGGCGAAGTCGTCCCAGGACGTGAGAGGGCCAGAGTCAAGATTTCATCTTTAGAACATGAAATCGCCTTTGTACTTTCGACTCTGGGCTTCTCTCATGTTCTGACAGCCCGAGCTGCCTTACAACCACTTTATTCAACCAGTAGCGAGTTTCTGGGCGCCCAAGAGCGAACAAATGCAGTCACGGCCGCAACGAAATGTCTCCTCGAAGCTGCTTCTGTGTATGATTATCTCGCAGGTCGAGGAGAGCATGCTACAGCTAACCCTCCATGTCCCGATGTTGCTCCCGGAACAGCTCGAGCCTTGTGTTCTCTAGCATTGGCCGAAGCTACGTTACTAGCCGTTCTGAAAGACGATCCCTATCCAGCAATAGTCGCTCAGGACCGGAACAAGAACGACAAGGAGTGGATGTTCAAGGCCCCTGAGATTCCAAAAGTTCGCGCCCATCTTTATGCCCGACTGTGTTTAGCAGCCTCAGAACATGCAGCCAAAGCATCATCTCTATGCAGCACAGCAGGTTCTGGTTCGCACAAGATCAACAGTGCTCTTTTGAAATATCTAGAAGATCTTCGCCGAACATGTCGAGCCCGCGCTTGTCGTTTCTTTGGAATCGACGCCGAGATAGGTGGCCAGGTTGCAGACGGCATTGGGTGGGTTCGTGCCGGCTTATCAGAGCTAGGTATTGAAATCAAAGACAACAACAAGAAGGGACTAAGCTTTAGTCGATTAAAGAAAGATTTCACAGAAAAGCGCGAAGATCGACGTGTGGATAAGGAGTCTGCATGGGGAAGTGATGCTGGTAAGATGGAGGAGATTCGAGTACTAGAGATGCTCGATGTTAAGTGGAACAAAGTGAATGATACGGTAAGCTCTGTATCAATAATACCATGTTATTATCTAACGTCTGTGCCAGATGAACACACAAGCAATACCTCCCATCAACACACTCCTCAGCAAGATGCCGTCAGGGCGAGAGATTCATACACTCAAGCCCTACGAGGTGCCCTCACTGGACAGGGATATTCTCGAGGCCATGCGCGCACCGCCTGAAGACGATGATACATATGTCGATGACCTAAGTTCAGATGACGATGTCAAGCGTGGACCTTCAGCGCCAGTTGGTGCGTTCCCAGGAACGGTAGATGACTATTCACGAAGTCCAAGCACACCGGGCAATGCCTACTACTAGTTTTGTGAGAGATATAGGTAGTTTAGAGTAGAAAGTGTCGTATAACTGGATTAATAACAATCTTGAATGCCTAGGAAAGGATATCATCCTGAAAGATACAGCTTTCCAATGTCGAACAGTTCCATCGTTCCATCGCCAAACTCCTGCCATCTCAAGCCAAATCGGGTACAGTAGCATCCCGTTTACAAAGTTGAGTTCGCGACGGACTCAGGAGTTGGCGTGATAAGAGTAACGGCAATGTCTGGAGTAATAGGGGTGAGGGTGGGTGTAGTCATTGGTGTGCTAGGAGTGCATGGCGGTGGTGTAGGATACAGCTCAGGGGAGCAAATAGGATAGCATCTGGTAAATTAGTAACTGGAATATTCTATGTTGGTATATGTTTGTCGTTGGCTTAACTTACGCTCCGTACATGACACCACAGTCATTAATAGCATCCACGCAAAGGGTGGGACAGGCACTTGTGGTGGTGTTAGTGCTGAAGGGCACCGCGGCAGCAAGGCCAACGATAGCGGAAGCGGTGATGACAGTTTTGAATAACATGATGGGGTTTTATGTAGGTAGTTTGTGAAGATGTGAAGACTGAGGTCTGAGTTGTGGATGTTGATGTTGAGGTCAAGGTTTGTCTTTGGCTATGGGTAGGAGTTACCAGACTTTATACTTATTCAGCCCTTACCATAGAAATGAGAGTTTTCCTCTGGAAGAACCAAATACTCAAATTCATACCAACATTACCTAACTTTACTATTCACTTCAAACTAGGCATCATGTCTAGGACACAGTTCGGTATTCCGCAAGCCAGCAGCTGTTGTGAGACATGATGGCAATCTTCAACATGTGCAACGTAACCGTGGGGGCAAAAGTTGAGGACATCTTTAAATCAAGCACCAAACACCAAGATGCTGGCGTTTTTCCGAAACATAAAGTCTTGCTCACAAGAAATGAACGTCGGAAACATACCAGCAAGCTCATGCACTTGACTGCCGCCTGTCATGCCAGATGGTCTTGACGAGAATGACTGTGGTTCCCTGCTCAATAAAAGGATCTTTTGATGCAGTGAGGTTGATCACTGTTGTGATGACTCTTAATAACACCTCAAAATTCAGGTTCACAGTAGTACACATGTCAACCGACCGGAAGTAAAGTTGGATTCAGACGAGCTCCTGGTTATTATAGTCACGATTCAGGTCTGCAAATTCTCCGAAGCCACATACTGAGTATCCTGGTATCTAACTCAATCCACTTGGTCGAAATACACTTTTGAATAAAGTTGCTCCATCATTAAAAAGCCACTATAAACCGTCCCGAAGCCACTCTGCAGGTACTGTACACTGCTTCAATCAACCCCCTACTCCGATTCATGTGAATACTGCCGCTTTTCTCATCCTTGTGAGGTAACGGAAGGTGTCTCGTAGCACTGTTTGTTGATCACGTCGGGTATGTCGATCATTATGTATCAGCAATCGCTGTCTTGATGCCGTAGACTTGTGTTGTAGAAGTGATGAGAACGCCAAGAGCTCGATGTTTATTGTTTCGACTCGCAACTCGAGGCTTAAGGGCAAATTGAAAAGCATCGACGCTCAGCACGGCCCTCTCTCGAAGACAATTAAGCAGGGGCTCGATGGGCGATTGCAACTGAGGCAGCCAGGGCGGAGGGTCAGGATCGCAGTTGTCGGGCAATTCTCCGAATTCTTATGTCTCAACTGGTCTGTATACGGCGCTCTATCTCAAACACGGGCAAGCTTTTCGAAGCACTCGAGGACGGCATCGTAAGGTCGAGAGTGGCGAGCGTAGCTATAGTCAGTTTACAGAATCATACCCGAGCGAACACAAGACGATAACAGTACAGGAACCAGGGGTGAACGATCAAGAAAATAATATTGCCAAGTTTGCTATAGAACACAGCGTGGAACTCCCATCCATAGCCTATACACAGGGTTAAAGTCCTAATAATCTCATGCGCAGATTTTGCTCTGCGACAACCCTTTAAATGCTTCGCTTCTCCCTCCAATCGTCACATCGTTTTCGCGACATATTCGTGGTTCTTGTGAATCTAGTTGCCGAAAGCCATCTGCTTCTTGATCTCGGCAATGGCCTTACCAGGGTTAAGACCCTTGGGGCAGGCTCGTGTGCAGTTAAGGATAGTGTGGCAACGGTACAGGCTCATCGAGTTCTCGAGGTTGTTCTTTCGCTCGGCGGTGCGCTCGTCACGAGAGTCGGCGAGCCATCGGTAAGACTGGAGAAGGATAGCGGGGCCAAGGTACTCCTCAGAGTTCCACCAGTAAGATGGGCATGAGGTAGAGCAGCAGGCGCAGAGAATGCACTCGTAGAGACCGTCGAGCTTACGGCGGTCCTCCTTGGTCTGTCGGTACTCCTTGCCCTGAGAATTGGTTAGTAAATGTAAGCTTCCGCAAGTGAGAAAGGGGTCGTACATCTTCGGCAGGGGTATCACGCTGAAGGTAGGGCTTGATGCTCTTGTACTGCTTGTAGAAATGTGTCAAATCAGGGACAAGGTCCTTGACGACATAGGTGTGAGGAAGAGGGTAGATCTTGACGTCGGAAGCAGCCTCGGTGGGAATTCGGCCTGATAATACGTTAGCACTTGAATTTCCGACATGATTTACCGCATGCGACCCGGGTGAAGTGGTACATACACAAGCAAGCAAGAGTGTTCTGTCCGTTGATGTTCATAGCGCAGCTACCGCAGATACCCTCACGGCAACTTCGTCGGAAGGTCAGAGTAGGGTCGAGCTCGTTCTTGATTCGGATGAGGGCATCGAGAATCATAGGTCCAGTCTTGTTAAGGTCCAGAGTGTAGGTCTGAAGACGAGGCTTCTCGCTGGGGGTATCGGGGTTCCATCGGTAGATTTGGAAAGACTTGAGGTTGGCATTGGAGTCCTTAGGAGGCTCGCTGACTGAGGCCATAGAGCGAGTGAAGACAGCACCAGGTCGGAAAGCAGCTGTCCTTGAGAAGGCTCCGACGAGTCGGGAAGAAGATCGAAGAGCAGCCATCTTGTCGAATAATCGAATCGAGGAAGTACAATTGCGATTGGGACCGGAGGAGAAGGACAGTCAAACTTCGCAATGTTTAGTTGGAGCTGTGGTCAGACAATTGACAGGAAAGAAATGCCGTGCAATCTCCTCCGATAGAGTTGAATTGTCTATTCGCAAAGGGTGGCGTATCGAGGATTCTCGTCGTCATGTATTGGGTTGGCAGACCTTCCTCGGTTATTGCAGTTTACACTGGGACCTACGGATGGCCTCTGGCCAATCACAAATTTGCGATTGTCAACTTCGGCTTCGCTGGTCTCGGAATCGGCAGGAACAGCGCTCGTGAAACCACGTGACCTGCCTTCCTGGCGGATATAGATCGCGGATCAACAGCGGGTATCAATAATTGCGGAGATGAGATTCCGGGAAAATATTGGAGATACATGCAGTGGCTTTGAACCATGCACCGCCTCCTTTTGTCTTGCATGTGTGGCTTGCCTCTTTGTTCCGAGGAATTGGTTACCTATTGTGAAAGGATATCCATTGGAGGGGCTTTGCTTGGCCAGTCAAGATTAGATAACAACTTGGTAAATCGGCACTCAACAACTTTGTTTCTCCGTTCACGATCCCACTTCTCTCATGACACCAATTTTTCTCTCTTACGATCTCCTTGGCAAAGATGATTTCTCTATAATTTCTATCAAGGTTTTATCGTCTCCAATATTTTAATCCTCCTCCGATCCTCGCTCCGACTCGTCACTATTCGCATTGATTTTCGTCTCTGGACGATCCACTTTCTAGCCCTCCATGGCTACACCCTACAATCGACTTGCTACGGCTTCATTGCGAACGCTTGCTAAGGGTTGGTCGCATTGCCCGTACAACACTCAACAGCTCTCAATTCTAACTGTACCAGCTCCGACGCAATCCTGCTCCCGACTCCGTACTCATCCTCACGTCGCAATGAGTTCGTGCCATCGCTCCAGACTCTACTCCACCTCCACCGATGCTCCTCGATTCTCTTACCATGTCGCATCCTCCTTCATTGCCAAGGACAGGCCATACGACCCCTCCACTCACGTCTTCCACTTCAACCCATACAATCGCATTCAACCCCCTCGAAACCGACGACCTTCCGCTCGACCCGAATCTGGACACGATGCCTTCTTCGTCAGCCGGATCAACGACTCCGGGTCAGTAGCCTTTGGCGTTGCTGATGGTGTTGGGGGCTGGGTAGATTCCGGTGTCGACCCCGCTGATTTCTCACACGGATTTTGCGATTATATGGCATTGGCTGCCCACGAACACCAGACTGGCTCAGGGCCTCCCTTGACAGCAAGACAATTGATGCAGAAGGGGTACGAAGCAATCTGCAACGACAACAGCCTACGCGCTGGCGGAAGCACAGCATGTGTGGCTATTGCTGGAGCAGATGGAAACTTGGAGGTTGCGAACCTTGGTGATTCCGGCTTCTTACAACTTCGACTCAATGGAGTTCACACATATTCCGAACCCCAAACACACGCCTTCAATACTCCTTTCCAACTATCTCTCGTACCTCCCAGCGTTGCTGCTCGCATGGCAGCGTTTGGTGGTGCTCAGCTCAGCGACCTTCCCAGGGATGCTGACGTTACCCAACACGCGCTCCGTCACGGCGATATTCTTATTCTTGCGACCGACGGTGTTCTAGACAATCTCTTTAACCAAGATATTCTACGAATCGCCAGTCGAGTTCTGGTATCTTCAGGCGCCTGGGTAATGACTGATGCTGGTGGTGTGCACGTTGCGGATTCGCTAGAGCCTCTGGTTGAGTTCCCTGAAGCTTCCGAAGGCAAACGAACCGCTACACTCCAGAGCGCACTCGCTACGGAAATCGTGACAGCCGCCAAGCGAGCCAGCGTCAACACAAAACTTGATGGGCCATTCGCCAAGGAGGTCCATAAATACTACCCCCAAGAAAACTGGCATGGCGGGAAAGTCGATGATATTTGTGTTGTGGTAGCAGTAGTTAACGAGACGACCCCCGCTGTAAAGAGCAAGCTATGATTTGCTTTGTCATTCGATTTACGGCGCGATTTTATGATAGAGCAGAGGACATCTTATAAAGACGGGAACGCAAGCATTTTGGTGATTTATTATCTTGGGACGTTTTGGAGTCATTAAGTCACATAGACGACAGGGGAAGCGCCGGCTTGCTTGAATCATGGGGTTGTATATGGGCTGGCGTCAAAGAGATGGGATCATATACATTCTTAATTCTAAAAGTAGTTCTGATTTATATAATCTGACTTGAGTTATCAGAGAAGATGAGTGAGATGCTGAACTCGATATGGAATTATCCTTATGATAAATTGACTTGCTTATGGCTTATGACAAGGAGGCAATCCAATTCTATATCAAAACTACATATAGTAAAGTGTTTCATCGACGCTATTTTACGTCTTCTCACATGCTGTGAGCTCAAAATGGTTCAATGATGAGTTGAAGTGCAGGGTAACCCGAGAGTGGATATAAGCACACAACCATGACATCACCAGCTCATGGTGTAGGAG